CCCTTATCTTTTTGTGTATACAGGGTACTTTGTTGTTTGTCCACTTTTTTAGACTGAATTTTTGCATACGTATTTGAAATAACACCTCCTCTTCATACTATCAACAATTTTGGTATACAAGAATAATGAGAATGAAAATTCCTATATTTTATATTACGATTTTCACAAAATGTTCGATTAAGCTCACATTCTGGAATTATTATTAAAGCACTACAAGAAAGAAATGCTCTTTCCTAAGTATAGTATTACGATGCAAAATAATACGAAAAACTTTCTAGAAAAATACTTTCTGGCTGATATTCCATTTTTCGACCCCCATGGTGTAATTAGGTTAATTAATCATCCAAATAATAAGTAGAGTGATGTATAAAAGACTGAAAAGAGTTAAAGCAGCAGCATAAATTTCGTAGCACTTCTGAAACAATGGTTATACAAAAAAATAAAAAAAAACATAGCTGGAAATAGTCCCTTTTAATGACTTTTATTTATGTCAAGTATAAGCGTGTAAAGTCTTTTTCTCCGACTCATACTTATTTCATCAGGCCCATAGTGGAAGCCATGTTAACGTTTTCTCCCATCCTTCACAGGTGTGTCTCCGATTTTAACCGGGAAAGGTCAGCTTATCAACCCCTAGGGGGAGATAGTCTCGTGCCATTTAGCACGTGTTTAATTGTGACGTCATTAAAATGCGTCATCGGTAAGTGTGACGTCATCACAAGTGAATGACGATATGCATACTCCACATGTGTTTTTGTTTAATAATATGGCAGACTACTGTCGGTTGAGTTGTTACTGAAATTATAGAATGGGAGAAAAATAATCATCCCCTACCTTAAGGGTGTCAACAGAGAAATTTCCAACCCTCAGGGTGATCTTTTTGGCTGTCTTACCCTCGGCAGAGCCTCGGATTAGACAACCAAATAACATCGTCCCTCGGATAGGAGATTTCTCTGTCATACCCTCAAGGTAGGGGAAGATTTTATTAAGCATCATGCTTAAGCGAATTCAACGAATGCGGTTGGTGTTCGACCGGGTCAGAGGTAATGTTGACGTGCTCAACAGGGTCTGAGATCCTATTTACACACACAAAACAAAACTGCTTTCATCTTAATTCATAAAGATCTATTACGTCACTTGGTTTGCTAAACAACTTTATGATTCACTTATGAAGTAGTATTAATGAAAAACGATCACAACAGTAGAGGAAACGTGCCAAACTCGTTTATGATGTTCCTTCAAACCATATATTTTACTAGGGAAATAAACACAATGACTTAGGTTTAAGAGTACCACCGCACAAGTAAAATAATAATTAGTTTACTGATTAATATTAAGTTGCCTTGGCAAGATATTCATTTTTCTTCTTTATATTATACCCCTAATATCCGTGGATATCAACATTGGTAAAATGTAAGATCGGCAGCAAATATTTGAACTTGATGGTACTCTTTATCTACGTTTTATAACCGATACCACCAAAACGTTTGTATAGTACAAAGAGTAACTAGTCATTGTACATATGTTCTAAAAATGTTTAATTCCAAAAAATAGTAACTGGTCATTGTACATTTGTTCTAAGCATGTTCAATCTAAAATAAATAGTAACTAGTCATTGTACATTTGTTCTAAGCATGTTTAACCTAAATAATAGTAACTAGTTATTGTACAATTGTTCTAAGCATGTTTAATACCAAAAAAAATAGTAACTAGTTATTGTACATTTGTTCTAAGCATGTTTAATTCCCAAAAATAGTAGCTAGTCATTGTACATTTGTTCTAAGCATGTTAATTTCAGCAAAGAGTAATAAGTCATTGTAGTACATTTCCAAGCTCACCAAAAGTAACTAGATATGGTACACTTAATGTAAGCATGTTCAATTTCACCAAATAGTAACTTGTCACTGTACATTTGTTCTAAGCAAAGTCTAGCTCACCAAAATGTAATTGGTAATTGTACATTTGTTATATGCATATTCAAGCTCACCAAAGAGGAACTTGTCATTGTACATTTGTTCGAGACATATTCAATCTCAACAAAGATAAACTTATCATTGTATTTTGTTTTCAAAAATATCATCACTGTTAACAAGGTTAACTATTCCTTGAAAACCAGAAAAAATGAGAATAATCTCCGTGTCTATTTGTATGTCAACATTTCACCATGTATATCGTTAATGTTAATTGTCTGTTTTTAATGTAATGTTGCTCAACAAATATATATACCAGTATCCTGTTACACTGTGGTTGGTATTTGTTTTATATTTGAAGTAAGGTTTTCGCTCTATTTCTCTCTCTTCTCTCGAGATTGCGTTACATAAACCATATACGTATTGACCAGTTATAAAATGTTTGAGTAATGACGATAAAAATAATGAAAACAGCATCGCCGAAATGTTCAATAAATTTTGGGAAATCTAGACCGTATTCTTACCAGCTTTTAAGAATACATGGCGTGGCAAATCCTTTTTCTCTTACAACATGCACTGATACACCCGCAGTAGCTTAAATTAAGGTACATGTCAGACATCTAACTTGACTGCTTTCCTCTATCTTTACTTACAACATGACCAACAGAAATGGCTAATTTCTGCGTTATACAGTAAGCTGGACGATTTTCACTTTCTGATCATGAACTTTCCCTTGCTTGATAGCTTCCCCTTTATATACGTTTTTTTATTTGGTATTCAAGAGCTTGGTCCGTGACAGATTTCGACTGCTGGCTTTGAATTATTCTCTTTGTACTTTTTTAATTTTCCATATTTCACTCTAGTTTAATTGAATTTGGGCTCAAGTTTTTGTTTTGTTGACACATACACTGCCACTCATATATATCTCTATAAATACAAAGTTTACAGATTCTTGAGAAGTTTTCGTTGTTGCCGTAACATAGACAGCTTAACGTAGTAATTCAAATTAAACTAGCGATTTGTTTTTGTGAAAGAAAACGTATGTCTCCCCTTTAACGGTTTAACATTTACAGCCCAGACAAGATATTCCTGAACACTGCACTTATTTGACCTTTGACCTCGAGGTCAAGGTCACATAGACCTAACGACAGTGCACTGCACTCCGTGTGTGGGTGATGCAGATATACTGCAATTTTATTTGTACATCGTTCACTTAGCTCTCATTTGACCTTATTATTCATTTCTTATTGAGGAACTGCCTACTTTAATGTAAAAATCATAAACTAGAAATTGTTGGCTAACAATTTGACGGGCTTTTCACAGTTAGAACTGAAATAGTCTTTGATTATAATCATATTTTAAAACCTCAAAGTCTTTACCCTTTATGAAGAAAAGGATAATGTAAACCAAACCTGAAAGTGAGCTTTGTGTGCATTAACTATTCATTTTTTTTAGACATTTGACCTCTATGACTTTCATCATTGATCAAGTTCAACCATTTTGTAAAACGTGAGAGCTAAACATCTCAGCATCTTATCTATTAAATAGCAAGACACTAGACGTCGAAGAACTTGAGAACAAGCTTTTAAAAGTTTGTTACCCAAAAGAGTAAATGTTTACCCCTGCTGAAAACCGGAAGTAGACCTTCGACACAAAAATGTTTCCCGAGGAAAAAGGTTTTTCTATGCTGGTCTACATAACATACCAAAAGATGAAATTGATGACTACATTCGTCAATGAGTTATTGCAATTAGGATCAAAACGGATATGACGTCATGCCGGCCGTCTTGATTTGTCAATTTGTCAAAAAATTTCAAAAATTTGGTAGGTTGTCTGGGCAAACATAAATACCTACACTTCATAAAATCAGCGAAGCAGATCATCAGATTAAAGACGTCAAAATAATTGAAATATACTTTCCTATCGACTTCAAAAAGATTTTTTTTAAATGTACTTACGACTTTCGACCCAACAGCGAGGATTTATATTTGACCTTTTTTTGTAATAAAATGTCGAAGAAAAATTTAGCCCCAAATAATATCTACAAATAATGTAATTGCATGACTGAGATATGTCCATTTTAAAGTTTTGATATATGACGTCATGGCAGCCATATTAGATTTTTGACCTACTTGAAAATGTTGTAATCACACCTTTAGACCTTGGCCTACAACATACCTAAAGACTATTAAAATATCTGCTACCAATTAAAAGATTTAGACTCCACAAAATCGTGGCAAAAGAAAAAGAATAAGAATAAAATACATAACAATAAATCTTTTCACCGGTTGGTGAAAAGCCCTAATGAACAAGTTCTTAACTGAACCCATAGATGCATATGATGCTTGGAGAGAGTTAACAATGCCACCGTATACTTTCATACCAAGTTTATGCAAAATAGGACACATTGAGGGACCGTTGTCATAACCTTGGAGCATAGCTTCAAATGTCAATCAGTTTTTCTTTACCTTTGACGTTGAGATAAAGACCACAATAATCTACTGACTCTACATTGTACGTCATCTGTATGTGATGCTTTCATACTTCAAGTTTCATCAAGATAGCTTTAACGGTTTAAAAGTTGCAACCCGGACAAGATCATATAAGAAAAAACTAGAACTAGAGGAACCAGTACTAATGCAATGTCTCCCTTAATTCAAAGGCGACACATAATTGCGATAAAAATAATAAAGATGTCAATATTTTATCTTTTTAAGCCGTCGTTTTTCATTATTTGAATTGATTACATAGAACATTTACAACATTGTTGATGGTTCACAAAAAGCACAACAGAACGTTAATGTTTTGTGTTGCAACCATTGCGCATGTAAAACCGGTTGAATTCGTCTTGGCATACTTCTGACAAGTTGTCGACGTCGTCGGAGAGGAATCCTGGTCCATTCACCTTTGAGTGCTTGCTGCAATTGGTCAAATTTCCTCATCTTTGATACGGATCAGATTATACAAAATCTCTCCACAAATTATAGCACATAACACTCAAATGTTTATCGATAGGTTGTCTCCATAATCTCCTCACACGGTGTACATTACCACCATTATAAAGCAAGAGACGGTGTCGATCGCGTCATAGTCGACAAGTCAACTAGCAGCTGCATGTCAGTAAATCAAAAGGTAAGCTATCACAGGTACTGGGTACTTAACATCACTGTTCTAGAAGTCCGAATTATTCTGACGTTTTATCGACTTTTTATATCGGTCTGTCGTCGATGACAGACCGATATCAAAAAAGTCGATAAAACGTCAGAATAATTCGGACTACTGTACTAGGTACTTAACATTACTAGTACTCGGCACTTGACATAATTGGTACTTGGCACTTGCCATTACTGGTACTCGGCACTTGCCATAACTGGTGCTTGGGACTTGCCATTACTGGTACTCGGCACGTAACATTACTTGTACTCGGCACTTAACATTACTGGTACTCGGCACATACCATTATTTGTACTCGGTACATGCATTTGTTACTGAATTTAATCAACATTGCTTGTACATTGTACATAATTGTTTAACATTACTTGTTCTTGATACTGAATTAAACTACAGAAACAAATATCTTGATTGCCTTTGATTGGTTTGACCAATGGGTTTGCATCAATATGTAGAAAAATCAACATATTTCGTTTTGTAATAGTTAACTTGCTTGAAAAGAAAATATAAAGAAGAATACATAATTGACGTAATTTACACGGCTTTTAATGTAAGGCAATGACTTCAATTATGTCAGGCAAAGCATACATTATATCACATGCTGGTAACCAATGGTTGCATTTCTCACAGACGTCTCAACGCTCTAAGCATGCTTATGAGTTGTTTTAATCCCCTAGCAGGGGAGGGGAGGGTGGGGACCCAGAAACCTCAGAAAAAGACCGACTTTTGCACTTATCTGGTACTAATATGTTAGAATTGTAACGGCGGTTCTGCATGTACTTATTTCTGCAAACAAAAATCTAGAACTTCTTTTCTTCTAATATTTTGACAATTATTCTTTCACTGCCGAGCGGAGCGAGTCGAAAATTTTAGTTTGAAGATGCAATGCTAGATTGCTTCAAGCACTGCCGAGCGTAAGAATAGTAAGAATTGATTGGACATTATTTCCATTGCGTGAGGCGTGGAATAGTTTCCCGAATTTCAAGTTATATTGTAAAACAAAGAGTGTCTGTAATTTTTTTTATAAAAATGTGGATTTTTGGTTAAAATGTCCTCGTTAATTTTGTGTCAGGCCCTTAAAATGGTAACTTTTCAAAAAATTCAATCTTTTCAGTAGACTCAACTGATAATGCTGCACTGTAAATTATGCACTTTGTAATTTTGTAACCGATGAGTCGAAAGTGTTCAGGTAATAAAGAACTTCAGTTTGAACTTGACATGTACATGCAGTTTAGGCGAGCATTTTGGCAATTTAATATTAATTTATTTTATCATAAATATGAATTATGATTTAACAGTTTGTTTTTATTTAACAAGGGCAGCACCCTTACAAATAATTCATTATGTATATAAAAACAATTCCAAAGGAAAAGTATGTACACGCTAAGCTTTTATGCTGAGATTGGTTATTAGTCACCTGATGAAGGGATGCTAAGGAGGGTGCTTCTTTGTCTTTGAACTTTTTGAACTTTTTATTTTTCAATTGGTATAATAAATCACTCCTTGTGACCATGTGTACTTGAAACCACATGTGAAAATACAGGTATAACTATCATGAAATAGACTATACCTTGGAAATAACACTTTACCTATATACCGAATTCCAATAGATGTTATAGTAATCTTCCAACTGACCGGGTGATTACCACAATATGACATTAGAACAATAAGATTAGGTAGAGTCAGTTTGATGAGCCTTGACCACTTACCTGACGGGTGGAGACCCTACTGATATATAAAAAATGGAGGATTAATTCCGTATTGTTTAGAGTATACATAGTGGACTCATTGTTTTGGCAATACTCTTAGGCATATATAGATATTCAAACTCCTGGCAAGGGGAAGCCATATAAAATCATAGTTCAAGGGATGGTTGTTATTAGAAGGAAATCCCATATGAAATAGAGGGAAATCTTCAAAATCGTTTGTCCAGATTATTTTTAAAAAAGGGTGTAGCCCAGGCAACTAGAGCAACACCCTGGGTCCGTCGCTGCCAGGCTAGTATTCCATAAGACTAAAAACATGTTTACGCAAAGTCACAAGATTAAAAGCGCTAGGTCGGTACACCAAAGGTTGACAAATGGTTAAAAAATAGCTAAAACATAATATTAATTTATTTACCGTTTGGATGACCAGAAGGACATTTCTCAAGCTTTTAAAGCCAGTCAACTTGATTATCATCTAAATTTATTCTCCAATATCCGTCAAGACACACCCGTTAGCCCACGAATCGTATTTCTTAGTTTTCCGATTACATAATGACGTCATTGCCTGTACGACATAACTGATTTGACAGGTCTGTCACTGTACCATTGTATTCAATTTTCATTGTAAACACCGAGCCATGGTTTTGCCAAACAATTGACTTTGTAATTCAATTGATGTTATTAATTTTCTTTTTCATGAGATTCATAAACAAATTGTCTATAACAACTGATAACTATCTGTGTTTGGCGATTGTGGCCATGGCTTTTTCACTACCCCCAATTTGGGCTGCCTGTGCCACCTCAAATAGATAAATATGACAAAATCTGTCACCTCAAATAGATAAATATGACAAAATATATCGCCCCAAATAGATATATATGACAAAATCTGGTCATTTGTAAAATTGTCAAGCTAGATCCGAAAATAAACACTTATCAACGTACATTGCATCGCACAAACTCGGACGAAATCGTCAAAAAGCGCGAGCCTATGAAGCCATCAGTCTAAAATCATAATTATACAATATACAACCAAGTGAAACTATTAGCTTAGCCTTTTGGTATTTTTTTAAATGTATGCATGTTTTCTTTATTATGTACAGTGTTATTTTCTATAAACCTAATGATGTGTATTTCTGATGGAATACTATGTTTTGTTTCAGACCGTTCTGACCTCCCTCTTCGTCGTGGTTGGCTTACTAGTATTGGTGGAATCAACAACGCTTGCTCACATACCACTTACGCAGGTCCAATTACAGCGTTACATTATGGAATATATACAATATTACCATATGCTGCAAGCTAGGGATATGCTCTCAGACACCGACGTAGATCGTCTAAGTAAGTGTCGTGTCTATATCAAACTTTACCAGTTCATTTAAGCATTCAACATAATTTGGTCCGTGTTATGGTCCTATAACACGGAACAGGATTGAAGACAAAAAGAATAACACGCTAGTTAGCGCGTTCTGATTATTTGTCTGCAATCATGTCCCGTGTTATAGGACCATAACACGAAACTGAAGTCTGTTTTATAATTTCATTTTCATTTTTTAGTTCACAAATCATTTTTAAATTTGAATTTTGCGGTGTTTGTTCAAGCGGTGGAACAGCCCATGGTTTTAAATATAAAACCATATTGCTCACGGAATGTAGTCTCATGACTTTTCCCGAAAAGAATATAGTTCGTGAAAATAAACACAAAAATATCGATACTTTTTCTATAATTAAATATATCAATGTTTTCAAATCTCATTTTATAAAAGTCTGACATAAAACGGTGAACATTATTAAATCAAAATAAGGAATTTTACTTATACGCTTGCTAGTGCGGAGGGGATAACTATCCGGTAGTTAGTCGATCCCGTGGAGATATCACTACGCCTGTGTTATGGTCTCATACCAATGAACTGGCCTTGGTAATATCATATAGTGGCACTGCAGAGCAAATATATAGTTAGCAATATATCCTACATATGACATCTACATATGATATCTTTTGTTGATAAAATGTTAGGGGGAAACCAAATCTGGGAGTTTTTCTATCAGTTATTTCCTGTGTTTTCACCCACGATAGATTTGTCTAAAAGGCTTAAGGGAAAAGCTTCTCAGATTAAATTGAAAATACTATTTGAATATTAAATTCAATGCAACTAAGGTCAGTATTGGAATTTATAGGGAATAATAAAGTTTGACTATAAAATAAGAATAGATGAAATGGGGTTAAACTTCTTAATGTAATTCAATCGATTATAATGGCATATCCAATAGCATAGGCATCTCAAGTAATGATGGCTTGTCGTTATAAACTTAATATTATAAAATTTATGCAATGTGGCCTAAACTGTATCATAGATACAATAAAACACAGTGTACTGGATCAACACTGTTGAATAAAAGGGCTTTTTTGTTTCTCCTAGATATCTTTATCCGACTCATAAGGCCCTATGTGTCTGCTTCCTCAAAAAGACGTGCTTGAAAGCTTATCCAAAATGTGAGTATAGTTTAATACATATTACTTTTTACGTTCTTGATGTAATTATCTTTTTTTTATCATCGTGGTGACTTGTGTCTGTATATGATATTCCTTCAAACTATATATTTCACTGGGGAAATAAACTGGGTTTTTTGTTTTTGTTTTACTTATTCTCAGCAACAAACCAATTAGTTTACTGATTAATAGTTAGTTGCCTTGGCAAGATATTCATCTTTCTGCTTTATATTATACACCTAATATTCGTGGATATCAACATTGGTAAAATGTAAGATCGGCAGCAAATTTTAACTTGATGGTACACGTTGTCTACGTTTTAAACCCAATACCACCAAACGTTTGTATAGTACAAATAGTAACTAGTCATTGTTCATTTGTTCTAAGCATGTTTAATCTTAACGAATAGTTACTAATCATTGTACATTTGTTCTAAGCATGTTTAATCTCAACGAGTAGTAACTAGTCATTGTACATTTGTTCTAAGCATGTTTAATCTTAACGAATAGTTACTAATCATTGTACATTTGTTCTAAGCATGTTTAATCTCAACGAGTAGTAACTAGTCATTGTACATTTGTTCTAAGCATGTTTAATCTTAACGAATAGTTACTAATCATTGTACATTTGTTCTAAGCATGTTTAATCTCAACGAGTAGTAACTAGTCATTGTACATTTGTTCTAAGCATGTTTAATCTTAACGAATAGTTACTAATCATTGTACATTTGTTCTAAGCATGTTTAATCTCAACGAGTAGTAACTAGTCATTGTACATTTGTTCTAAGCATGTTTAATCTCAACGAATAGTAACTAATCATTGCACTTTTATTCTAAGCATGTTCAATCTTAACAAATAGTAACTAGTCATTGTACATTTGTTCTTAGCATGTTTAATCTCAACGAATAGTAACTAGTGTTCTAAGCATGTTTAATCTCAACGAGTAGTAACTAGTCATTGTGCATTTGTTCTAAGCATGTTTAATCTCAACGAGTAGTAACTAATCATTGTACATTTGTTCTAAGCATGTTTAATCTCAACAAATAGTAACTAGTCATTGTACATTTGTTCTAAGCATGTTTAATCTTAACGATTAGTAACTAGTCATTGTACATTTGTTCTAAGCATGTTTAAACTCAACAAATAGTAACTTGTCATTGTACATTTGTTCTAAGCATGTTTAATCTCAACGAGTAGTAACTAGTCATTGTACATTTGTTCTAAGCATGTTGAATCTTAACGAAGAGAAACCAGCAACAAAAATAACTTGTCATTGCAATTTCCCCCGAAATATCAAAATTGTCATTAAGATTGTTTATTGTATATTAATGTTTTAATTATGTTCATCGTCATCGATACATACAGTGTATAACAATGTATACTGAACCACATGTAACTATAATGCGCAACACTGTACACTTCATCATTACAATACAATGCCCAATGTCATAACTGTTGAAGGTGTAAATCCATAGTTGACGTGGCAGTTTTTTACATATTAATGCATTAGATGCACACATGTTTCAACATGTCATATCTTTGGATATTTACTTGACGGTAATACACGGGAACACGTATCACTGCAAAACATGTTCAGAATTATTTATCGATTTGCCATAAGAATCACAAACGAATCTTAAGAAATATGATTCAGTTTCTATACCTTGACGTTTTTTAATTCTTCTTTTATGTCTTTTTAGGTGAAATCGATCCTATTCCTCTGATGAGATTGCGATGGCACGTGTCGCAGAAAACTGACAATTGATTTTTAACCACGAACTGTTTTTAAAGATAATGTCTGTGTTGATGCGTATATCATATTCTTGATTTTTATTGTATATCATCCTGTATCTCATAAACGCTAATTGTCTGTGTAAATGTAATGTTCCTCAATAAATTTATAAACCAAGATCGTATTACACGGTGGTCGGTATTTGGATAAGTATATTTATCACTCTTTTCTGTTCGTTTTCTCGAGATGACGTTTCATAAACCATATGTGTATTGGCCGATTATTAAATGTCGTGTAATGACGATAAACATCATAAAAACGTCTATTTGTGTGGTCTTTCATTAAATAATTGGGTGATGAGTATGTGGAAATTCCAATCTAATCGCTGATTAATTATACGTGGAATGGCGAAAACATCAAACATCAACACGTTCATTTACATAACTAAACAACAGGTTTTTTCTTAAATATTTGTTGATGATTAGTTAAAAATAAAATAACGAAATCGCTTACAAGAACAGATGAAATGGAAAATACTTCTTCTCCTAAAACAAACAGTTACATAGAAACACAACACCCATAGAATCAATTAGATGCTTAGAAACAGATGAAGGTTCATCAGGTCCACTGAAAGAGAATATAGTCACCCTAAATGTCAACATCCTGCTACATATGGAGTTGGAATATATTGAACTTGTACATTAGCTATTGAAATGTTCCATCACGAAGTTAACGTAGTCAATAATAAAACATTGAGGCTGATATTTTCATGAAAAAAGTTCGCCGTACTTGAAACATGTCAGTCTCTTTTGCGACCCAACTGAATGCTATGAAATGGCATATTATCTAAAGCTCATTTATATATATACATGTATATAGTTTATGCGGAGCTGAGCTTCTCTTTTACTTCCTGTAGAGAGGCATACCAGCCCCAAAACAAGATAGATGTTTCCATGCGTAACCATAAACCATAGTACAGATTATAATTTATGATACAACTACGTTACTCGGACATTTTACTATATTTTTCTGCATTTCCGTAGCCATAATCAGTTTTGTTTGAGGCCGGCATGTCTTTCCATAACAAGTAAAAGAGACATATAAATGAACTTCAGATAATGTCATGTCGTAAAATTCAGTTGGGTCTCAAAAGAGATAGACATGCTTTAAATCCTGTGAGCTATTTTATGAAAACACCAGTGTTTATGCCTTATTATTGACTATGCTGCTAACCTCGCTATGGATCATTATAATAACTTATGTACAAGTTCAATATATTGAAATTACATGTAAATTCCAATTTTTGTTTGGGATCTTTAAATATGACTTTTCATGTGGTTAGAAGTTAAAGTGACTATGGCCTCTTTCCGGGCGCTTGGTGAACTGTAAGGCATTTAAGGTCATGAAATGTATCTGGGCGTTAAAGGTTAAGAGAGAAGTAATGCTTTATTTTGGTAACACAATGACAATGGTGAATAGTAAACGCTCATTAACATACTTAAGGGAAATATATCATCTGACGCAACGTTCAGCTTGTTTGTACAAAGTAAACATTCCCTATGTTTCATTTTGTAAACTGTATCTATTAATTTATTGGGGTTTATTGTATTCATAATGATAAAGATAATAAAAATTCGAGGTTCTTGTATACCGCTTTATCACAACCTAGTTCGTTGGTCGTCTCTAAGCGGTTCACAAATTATTATCCGTGGTTATAGGGCCTTTGCAACCATCCAATTACAGCCGGTGCTGCAATTGCGGCGCTCACAGCTAGCATTCAACAATGTCTAGCACTGCCCAACCACGTACTACTCATTTACAGCTGAGTAGACTTGAACACGCGAAAAAAATGCCGAGACGTGACTCGAACCCGCAACCCTTCGGTCGAGAGCCAGTCGTCCAAATAAGGAAGTCAGAGTTAAAACAAAAAGGCATTTACAACTGTGAAGATATCGGCACAAAAGGAGGGACACCATTGATCATCACATTAAACGGAGGTTACTATGAATGCAACAGATACTGTTCCTAAGAACAGGCTCTGGAACAGAAAATGAAACAGTGACGTGTAAAGTATATAAACAGAGGCTGGAATGTTACTACTAAGGCATTCATATTCGTATACAGGCTATGAAGCTTAAAACTGTTGTTTTTTTTTACTTTATTTTATAAAAATTCTGAAGTTCCTTAGGTTCTATCAACTTAGCCCGAAGGGACACGTACAGAGGGGAGAGAGGGAAACCAGATCGAGTACTCGGGGGAAATCCTAGTTGTCGGGCAGGTAACCCAATACCTTTTCACGTCTGATTGGATAAACGAACCCTGGCCGTCATTATTTTATTGACAAAACAAAACAAAACAAAATTCAAAAACAAACATAGGTAAAACATCAAAGTGAAAACAATACTGTACTTCGAACTCAAAACCGATGACACAATAGTAAAATATGAACAAAGGAAAGATTTACACTTTATACACAAGGTCTTTAAAAACTACACGAAGAATAAGAGCAGGTATTCCAGGAGGGTACGCGTCTTCTGCATCAACGACGACACCGGCGATGTAAATCTAGATCAAATCCGCTTACTGTCATGCCCTGAAAGAGAAAACTATGAATGCCAACCGGACAAAGGCAAATTCAATGAAGCGCGCTAGCAATTCATGTTGGAATTGCCTTCGTCAAGATGGAATTCATTTTTCCTATGAATGCCAACTGAAAACAGTTCAATTTACCATTTTTGGAATGTGACAACTGAAAAGAGTTCAATTTACAATTTTTGGAATCTGTTCATTTCATAGAAAATTCAATAACATTTACTATGAATCAACATTTAGTTAAAATAATGTTTGTATCGTGTATGCTTGTTCAATGAATAGAACAGCCATCTCCCATGGAGGGTCATTGTTACAGCGTAACAATGATGACGTCAACAATCGGTCCATGGCATTCATAGCCTATATGAATGCCAACTGAATTTGGTTGGGTTATATAGTGGCAACGCCATACGATGGTAAATATATGCCAATGAAATCGTTTATATTCTGGGAAATACGTGAATATTCGTATGTGATGGAAGCAGAGATATAACTATCAAGAAAGTTCATGGCCCTCATACAAATAATAGTAAGCAGTCTCTATTAATCTTGTTGTACGTAAAGATTGGGGTAAGTGGCGGATGTACAAGGTGCCTCTGTGGTGTCCTCTTTCAAGTTCAAGGGGAGAGTATACCAGTTTGACTTGTTCAATAACTATCCTGTTATTTAAATAATAATAATGATAATATACAACCTTTGATGTCACGCCCTGTCTATCTAGAATAAGCCACTTATTTTGAAGATGCAATGCTAGACTGCTTCAAGCACTGCCGAGCGTAAGAAACGCAAGAATTGATTGGACATTATTTCCATTGACGAACAGATCGAGTGAGGCGTAGAATAGTTTTCTGTGTTTCCAAGTTATATTTCATATCATATAGTATTTATAGTTTATGTCTGTAATAAATATTGATAAAAATGTAGATTTTTGGTTAAAAAGGCGAACATTTTGGCAATTTAATATTAATATATTTGACATAAACATGAATTATGATTTAAATGGGTCTTTCTATTGAACAATGGCAGCACCCTTACAAATAATGCTTTATGTATATAAAAACAATGTTAATGAAAAGTATGTACACGCTAAGCTTTTATGCTGAGATTGGTTATAAGTCACCTGATGAAGTTATGCTAAGAAGGGTACTTCATTGTCTTTAAAAGCTTTGAAATGTATATTTGTTAATTGGTATAAATAACTCCTGGTGACCATGAGTACTTGAAACAACAGGTGAAAATACAGGTATATCTATTATGAAATAGACTCTACCTTTGAAATAACACTTTACCTATATACCGAATTCCAATAGTTGTTATGACACCTCCCAATTGACCAGGTGATCACCGCACCGTGACATTAGAACATAAGATTAGGTAGAGTCAGTCTGGTGAGCCTTGACCACTACTAATATATAAACAATGGAGGATTAATTCCCTATTGTTTAGAGTATACGTAGTGGACTCCTTGTTTTGGCAATACTCTTAGGCATATATAGATATTCAAACTCCTGGCAAGGGGAGGCCATAGAAAATCATAGTTCAAGGGATAGTTGTTATTAGAAGGAAACCCATATGAAATAGAGGAAAATCTTCAAAAACTTTGGTCCAGGTTATTTTTGAAAAAGGGTGTTGCCCGGGCAACTATGGCAACACCCCTGGGTCCGTCACTGCCAGGCTAGTATTCCATAAGACTAAAAACATGTTAACGCAAATTCACAAGATTAAAAGCGCTAGGTTGGTACACCCAATGTTGACAAATTGTAAAAAGATAGTTAAAACATAATATTAATTTATTTGCCGTTTGGATGACCAGACGGCCATTTCTCACGCTTTTAAATCCAGTCAACTTGATTATCGCCTTAATTTATCCTCCAATATCCGTCAAGGCACCTGATACACCCGTTAGCCCACGGATCGTATTCCGTAGTTTTCCGATTAAATATCGACGTCATTGCCTGTACGACATAACTGATTTGACAGGTCTGTCACTGTACCATTGTATTCAATTTTCATTGTTAACACCGAGCCATGGTTTTGCCAAACAATTAATGTTATTGATTTCTTTTTCATGAGAGTCATAAAAAAATTGTCTGATACCTATCTGTGTTTGGCGATTGCGGCCATGGCTTTTTCACTTCCCACAATTTAGGCTGTCTGGGCCACCACAAATAGATAAATATGACAAAATCTGTCACCTCGAATGAAATAAGACAAAAGATATCGCCCCAAATAGATATATATGACAAAATCTTGTCATTTGTAAAATTTTCAAGCTAGATCCGAAAATAAACACTTATCAACGTACATTGCATCGCACAAACTCAGACAAAATCGTCGAAAAACGCGAGCCTATGAAGCCATCAGTCTCAAATCATAGTTATACAATATACAACCAAGTGAAACTATTAGCTTAGCCTTTTGGTATTTTTTTAAATGTATGCATGTTTTCTTTATTATGTACAGTGTTATTTTCTATTAACCTAATGATGTGTATTTCTGATGGAATATTGTGGTTTGTTACAGGCCCTTCTCACCTCCCTCTTGGTCGTGGTTGGATTAGTAGTATTGGTGAAATCAACAACGCTTGTTTAAATACCACTTACGCAGGTCCAATTACAGCGTTACATTATGGAATATATAAAATATTACCATATGCTGCAAGCTAGGGATATGCTCTCAGACACCGACATAGATCGTCTAAGTAAGTGTCG